AGTTCCTGTCCCCGCTCGAATGGTGTGGCTGTTGATTGTTTTTAAAATTGTGGTCTTGTGTTGTCCGTTGTCTTTTTTTCCTCTTTGTACACCACCACTACCCGACTTGGTTTGTGAGCCACCCTGAGTCCCGCTGGGAATAGGGCGGCATAGAAATACAATAAAATCGAAATCGAATACTGCTTCCTCCTTCTATTTTCCCACAACAACCACTACCCTATAGATTGGGCTGAGAGAGAATGACTGGCGCAGAGTCACCCAGCCAGCTTTCATGACTAAAGCAAGACTAGAACTCACATTCTCCCAGTTCCTAGTCTGGTACCCTAACCACTAGACCAGTTGTTCCCAACCGTTTTTTGACCAGGCCCCACCTAAGCATCTCTAAAATCCTGGTGTCCCCGCCCCGCCCTCATGACATGTGATTCTTACTTTACTCAAAAAGTGAACTCTACTCATGCGGAGGAAGCCTAAAAGGCCATTAACTTGGTTTAAACAAGGTTCAGATTGAACCTTGAACCTTAAGATTGAACCTTAAAAATCAAATTGGCTCCCTATGGGGCGTAGGCCCCATGTTGGGAACCCTTGCACTAGACCAAACTGGGATGAATGGAAAGTGTGCTATTTCTAGGTCTTGAATGAAAGAGCCGGTCCCAAGTATTTTATAATCTGAGGCAAAGTAGGAGAAAAAGTCCTCGCTTTTCCTAAGTAGAAGATGCAGTTTTTTTTCATAGTTGCAGTGGCCAGTCCTGCTGACTGTTCTCGGTTGATATTTTCAATTGACATAATAGAACACAGTAGATCAGGGGTGTCAAACTGAAGCCTGCGGGATTCAGCCCGTGGAGTGCTTAGATCTGGAGCTGCCCTGGAAACAGCGAAGGACTGGCCCATAATGTTCCTGCCAGCAAAAATGGAGCTTGGGAGGGCTGCACATGGCACACGGCCCTCCCGAGCTCCGTTTTCTCTGGCAGAGGGTTGGAGGAGGCCATCGCAGCCGAAAACGGAGCTCGAGAGACTGTTTTCACTGGAGGAGCGCTCGGCCCACCACAGGCCCCCCTGACATGAGTGACCTTGAGCTGGCCACGCCCACCCTGGCCACCCACAAGATCAAACACAAGCCTGATGTGTCCCTCAATGAAATTGAGTTTGACACAATAGATTAACCAGCTAACTGTCTTTTGTAGTCTTTCTTTATCTTCAATGAGAGATATCGGGTCTTTCTTGCTTTTAGCTGTTAAAATGGTATCGTAGCATTTCTTTCTTGATCCGATTCTCTTTCCTCCATCTGCTGTTCCTCCTGACTTTTAGTTTCCAGCTCCTCTCTACTATGTGTTTCTTTTTCTGTTGCTATGTATTTTTTTATAGAATTCTTGAGCTTTCTCTAAAGTATCAACTTTTATTTTCTTGTCTTGCCAGGATATTAATACGCCTTCAGAAATCAACCAACAATATATTATTTTATACTTTTATCAGTTACGAAGTGAGGAAGTGGTAGTTTCTTCTTTGCTTTCTAATCCTTTTGGGTAGCTGCCTGAGTATTATAATTTCTTTTCCTTTGTAAGTTAATTGGTCCTCTCTTGTTTTTTTATAGACTTCGTCTCCGAAGGTCCTTTTTGCAAATCTTATATGTATTTCTCTGGGCAATCTATGTCATCGTGCGTAATTTGTGTGCACTCTATATATTTCGTCAATGTTATTTCGCAGTTCGCTTTTATCCATCTGCAGAGTATTGGCCAGCAATTCTACCGTGAGTTTAAATAAATCTTCCTTTGTCTCTATTATATTTTGAAATCTCAGGTAGAATACAGATCTTTCCAGTTCCAGATAGATTATTGCCTTCTCCAGATTCCTATTTGCTGCTGTCAACCTTTCTTCCGTTGCTTCCAATTTCTTCTTAGTCTGTTCTGCTTTTGCTTCTACCATTTTTATTTCCTGTTTGTTTTTAGCTATTTCCTGAATTTTCTCTATTCAATTTCCTTATATCTCCTTTCACTTCACCCAAATCGCCTTTCACTTCCTCATGGTTGTTAGTTATTGATTCTTGTGTCTTCATCATAACTTCATATTTAAGGTCACTTGCATGGTTTGTAGGCTTGATGTGGGTCCTATTTTTTCACTACACAACATATCCACTATTGTTTTTTGCCCTGCCGGAGAGGCTATCAATTGGTGTAGTTTTCTTTACAGTTTTGGTAATTGTAGATGTACTTGTCATCTTTAATTTTTTAATTGCCCCATTTCACAAATTTGGTTAATTAATTTGATTTCAGTTGACTGCTTCTTAAATTCCTCCAATGGAAAATGTCCTCATATCTAAGCAACAGCTGGATTTACATCAGGTGTAGCAAAGCATCTCTAGAATAACAGGTAACCATCTTTTTGCCACCTGAAAGATTGCCCTGCTCTCTAAGGTAGATCCAATCCTGGGAATGGAAGATTCGTTTTGCACAATACAGGTAGACCTCGACTTATGACCACAATGGAGCCAAAATTTCTATTACTAAGCAAGACAGTTGTTAAGTGAGTTTGCTCCACTTTATGACCTTTCTTGCCAGAGTAGTTAAGTGAATCACTGCAGTTGTTAAATCAGAACCACGGTTGTCAAGTGAATCTGGCTTCCCCATTGACTTTCCTTGTCAGAAGGTCGCAAAAGATGATCACATGACTCTGGGGCACTGCAACCATCATAAATATAAGCCAATTGCCAAGCATCCGAACTTTGATCATGTGATCAGCAGTGGGTTCCTACCGGTTCGGAAAGGTTTGGCAGAACCGGTATGGTTTGATGGCCTGAGTCACTGGAACCGGCAGCGACCCAGGCCTGCCACGCCCCCGAAACC